GTACTACGAAGTGTCTATATGTCCGGGACCCTGACAGAGTGTCACGAAATACTATATGTCCGGGAGTCAAAATAATTCACCGAAATCATAGTAGAATGTAAATCCAGTCTAATCAAAGATACTTTACTGTATTTAGGTGTAGATAGTCTTCCTTTTGACGAAATCCAGTTGACAATTTAAAGCCTCTTCGCCGCTCTGCATAGKTTTTCGTGAGCTCTGTCCGGAAGTTCAACATCAACATGAAACCTATTTTCAAATGATTTTAATGGTTGTAGTTGCATTTTTGTAATCRGAGGTATTTCGGATAAAAAAAGATTGTCGATGGAAAATGTTCCTGTAGTGACTGGAATTCTTCACGTCAACTACCAGCCGTTCCTATTCGCYGGTTATCAAGGTTTATTTACCAAGATTTGTTTTTATTATCCACAGCTAAACGCAGTAAAAACTGTACTGAAACAGCTGCAGACAGACATACGCACAAACCCAGCAAAACCTTCAATRGAAACTTTAGAAGATTCTATGAAAGTATGTACTACAGTGTTCACTAAATCTGTACCAACACTATTAACATGGTGTTTACCAGCGAGGAATTGTGTAGGAGGCGGACTCGTGATTTTCTTAAGTTAAGGAAGCAGGTCGACAAATGAGGACCTTATGCAGAAAAAACTGATGGTCACAAGGGAGAGATAGAGCGGATTTCGTATGAGTGGGAAACGGACGGTACTGTACGGTGACCGTAAWCGTGGTGTAACCAAATTCTAGTGCTCCATTGGTTCACAAAAATTGTGCAGGCCAGGTCCGGTAACTATGCGGTAACCGTGCGGTAACGGTGYCCCACTCATACGAAATCCGCTCTAAAGTCAGGGGTAGATAATGTTGCTGTCGCAACCTACACCAACCAACTAAATCTGCTACTGTACACATGCATTACTGGAAAAAGGGTGGTGTCCTCAAAGAGAATGACATGTGCAAGTTATCGGATCAGCGGATATTCGACGGAAACTGCATGTTATATCATTTTAATTAAACCTTTTCTCATATTATTCCAGACTGCTGCAAGAAARATAACGTTCCTTCTTGACGACACAGAAAGCCAGCAGTCAGATCAAGTAGAGAAAGAGGACGGCGGTATACAAGTTGCTATGGAAGTTGAACACCTTGGCAATATGGTTGCTGAGCAACTCAATCAAACAGAACCTATGTCGCTTGAATATCCAAACATAAGTAAGTGAATATACTTGGTGCACCCCAAAGAGCAAAARGGAAGACGAGRGAGTCACAAGAATTTCMAAATATAACCCGCAATAATCAACWAGTTGGTGAGTGTATAGMYTTGCTTTTGTTTCAGTATTGCAGATCAAGAAGCTCGAGAAGAACTTCATCTTCCCTGATAAAAGTCTAAATGCCTCGTTTCAAACCRATGACGAAATAAGCATATCAACCAACCAATCAGATTCAGGTAAATTATAAATTATGACGTCATACCTATATTTATTGTATTCTGCCTTTGACGTAACATTGTATAAACGTATCCATACATCTTTTTTTCAGAAGACTACCTCGTATTCAGCTCCCTTTATAAGAATCTAGAAGACCTCCTCAAAGGGAATATCTCAGAAGTAGATGGGTAAGCTGAAACATAACGAGGGAACAAGTAAAATTCCAAAATTAAAATCAACTTGATTGGTATTTTGCAGTGACGAAAAGGGGAATTTTTTCCTTAACAGTCGGATTATTGCAAGCTCGCTAATCCCTGCACCTAATAAATCACTTGAGAAGAAATCAGTCAGACTGAAGCTTGAGCATAAAAGGGTTAGTATTATACCCAATTCAGTTACCCACAATGTAGGATTTTTTTTTATTCCATGGAGTAGGATTCACTGGCATACTGATTGATCAGTAGACTGTTTGGTTGACTGACTGACAAAATGAATTGTTTATCATTATTATCATTATTATCATTATTAATGTTGTTATCCTTGTTATCATTTTTAATATCCCTATTATCTTTATTATCACTTTTATCATTATTATCACTATTATCATTGTTTTCACAATTAAATTAATTAATCATCATTAAACATTCCATAGTTTAAAAGTTCTAAAAAGCAAGCGATGATGTGCGTCTTCTGGAATTTTACTTCAAGGTGAGTAATTGTATTGCTGATACAGTTATTATGTATTACCTGGTGTAACTCCCTCTTAAAAATGTATCAGAAAACTTTAAAATTCCAAAATGTCATACAAATCTTATTATATAGCGGGGAAAATTCAACCGGTTCGTGGTCAAATGAAGGCTGTCAAATAGACGAACAGCARTCCAATGAAAACTTCACGGTTTGCTTGTGTGACCATCTGACGCACTTTGCTATTCTAATGAAGGTTACTGAAGATGACAAGGTAAACCATTGATTGGTTCAAAAATATTTCCTGGAAAAATGGTTAATGGGTTCTCTTTTCTGTATTTCGCGCAGCCCCTCTCTGAAGACCACGTGACAGCCTTGCAAGCTATTACATACGTTGGGTGYAGCTTGTCTCTTATTGGTGAGGTTTTGACAATCGTGACTTTGACATGTCTAAGGTAAGATGCCATAGTTAGTGATACCAAAAAACCGTCAAATTATTAGGTTTTTCTTGTGTCAAGGCTGTGTAACGACATTCAAAGCTTTTTTCAGTACACTTTCCAAAAAGTACTGAACAACATATAACTATTTTCTTACAACAGATTAACAAAAGAGACCAATATGATCCATCTCAACCTTGTTGTCGCTCTGGGTTTGGCGCAGATTTTTTTCCTGTCCGGCATTACAGCCACTGAAAACAAGGTACATATATTCTGGAAACTGAGGCACATTTTGATCCAGCAAAGCTTGAAAGGATTTCCACCTAAAAAGACATTTTCAATCGGTCCAAAATATATCAGTGTCTTGATAATATATATCCAGTTTCTTCGCGTATAAAACATTGTYATGTCCCTATAGAAGTTGTCTTGTTATTTCTCTACTAAAAAACACCTGACACTCTAGACCATTTAATTACRAACAGAAAGTGAAGATTTTTATAAGTCACATGACAAATTGGAACATTRGAAATGTTTTCTTAGGTGCACAACCTTTTCAATTTTCACTCAGTTGTATATGTGCGCGTGTGCATCTCTAGCTACTTTGTTCAGAATGCTGACGCTTTCCAATTCATGACACAACCATTCTCTTCTTTGCCTGATCTTAAGATCACTCCTATTATCCGCAGTAGCACACTCACTTCTGTGAGCTAAAAACCCCTTTCCTCACTGCGCCTTAATTCCAATGGATCCGTTACTCAGGTCTGATGAGTGAATGTTATTGACTATGCATTTCTCACATAGGCTGTGTGCACATTTGTTGCTGTTGCTCTTCATTTCTTCAATCTGGTAGCGTTCTTCTGGATGCTTGTTGAGGGTCTATGGCTATATGTCATGGTCGTGCGTGTATTTGATACTGGTTACAACAGAATCAAACGTTACGTCATCGCCGCATGGAGTAAGTTACTGAAATCCATGTTGACCATTACCAWTCTGTTTTGTTCTAGCGATGTAATACAATCTAAAAAAAATGAAATTAAATAACTTTTTGCATTGGGTTCAGTCAGAAAACGAAAACCTTACAGAATAATTGATTCATCATGGCGACCGTATTGGGTTACAGCTCTCTAATGTTTGCAATTGATGAAATAGCTTTATTCATATACACTCCTAATTGAATTAACAACATATTTCCCATTTTKTACAGCCATCCCAGCTGTCATTGTCGTGGTGACATTGGTTTCTAGCTTTGATGGATATGGTACAAAACACAGGTAGAAAATTGCATTTCTGTAACTTTAAGTATTATTTTATTAACRCGCGCACACTAAACGAKGATAGCACTTCCCATGATCATCATACATCGACGCACTTAACAGCGTCACGGCCGCAAATTACCTATTCCATCAACTCACATAATTTACGCATGAATATTTTGTATCATTGTTTTGTTATCAGTTGTTGGCTTTCGGTAGAAAAAGGTACAATCTGGAGTTTTGCTGCCCCTGTTCTTATTATTGTATTGGTAAGTATGTAATGGTTTCACATAACGTCATAAATGACATTATTCTCATGCACCATGACGTCATCACGTTATGTCGTATATAGTATTTATAAATAATTAGTAAAGTGCTCGCACTTAAAGCGTGAAACAAATAGTACTGATTATTACTAAATAGTGTTGATTATACAATAGGAAACAAAGGAATTTGTATAATGTATCACCTATTTTGTAGTATTTATATTTCACGCATTTAGTGCGAACACTCTAATTAGGTAATTAATAAATCAGTTAATTTTCATAGATTAATACAGTGATCCTTGCACTTGTCGTGCGTGAAATTCTACGATTACACAACCCTGCGCCCACAGACGATAGTAAATTACAAACCGTAAGGTAAATTTATCAATGAAGAATAGAGTATGAATATTTGAGTAGTCAAAATTCCCTAATGTGTGAAAATGCAGAAAACTTATCTCCCCTTCATTTTGTCATAGTTTATATATAACTAATTAAAGATTAGTGTTAATTTTTTTTTTTTGGTAAACAATCAGGTCTGGTATTAAATCTACCGTGGTTTTGCTGCCAATACTTGGAATTGCTTGGGTATTTGGTATCCTTGCAGTAAACAGCCAAACCCTGGCTTTCCAGTATTTGTTCGCGATTTTCAACTCACTACAGGTAATAGTTAGTAAAGGGCAGTAGATAGGAATTGATTTAACAACCATTTCAATTATAGGATAAATTGAAACGCTTAATATCAACGCTTAATATCATTGTTATTTCTTGTAACCTATGAAATGCAGAAGCGGACACTATTATGTTGTAGTTATTTTGCCATGAAAATAAAATGAAAGAAAGTCTTTTTTTTATTTAGGGCTTCTTGATCTTCATTTTCCATTG